CGGTTTAAGCAGTGTGCGAACAGCTGCGCGAGCCCCAGAATGACACGATTTCTGCATGACCAGCTTTATGCTGACTTGAAGAGCTTTTGATAAATAGTTGAACAGGTGCATCCGAATTTGACACATTGTGGAAAAATATGGGACCAAGATGAATGACTGGAAAGTAACTTAAACCTAGGAAACAGTCTAAAGCAGCGGTCCCCAACCCCTGTGGCACCAGGGACCGGGGCTCCTGTGAGCATCTAGTGCCTGATGACCTGCGGCGGAGCCGAGGTGGTGATGCCGGCGCTGGGGGGCGGCTGCAAAAGCAGATGGAGCTTGGCTCGCTGGCCCTCCGCTCACCTCCTGCTGTGCGGCCCGGCTCCTGACAGGCCTCGGACCGATACCGTTTTGCAGCCCAGGGGTTGGGGACCCCTGCTCTAAATGCACAAGATTATAACTGCTAAAAAGTTATTTTTAATAGAATCTTTCAACATTCATGTTCTCAAAAGTATACTCTGGTCAAGATTCAAAATTTTTTGTGACAATCAGCGAGCTTTTAAAAAAATTAGGTAAGATTTTTGGTCCAATTTCAAGTTGGACCTATACCTCTCACAAAAATAATTCAAATTTAGAACAAGAAACCATGCACCAATATATTTGCAACCCTTATGAAATAAGAGTAAGCAACAGATTAAAAAAACACTAAGCTTTAAACATACGTTGCCGGGAATATTTTTTATTCTGGAAACGAGGTTTCCTTTCCAGGAACCACCTACAACCTGGCAGCCGCGCTTCTCCCTAATGCCCTTTGTCCCTGGGTGCTCGTCTTCCCAGCACACACAGTGCCACAGAGCCACCCCTCACAGTTGCTCGACCGCCGAGCCCGTGCCCCAGGCGGGTGGTCTGCTGTTTTCTGAAGCGTGTCACGCATGAGGGTTCGGGTCTGTGACCTTCCACACTCACCTTCCAGCTCAATGGAGTCGGCAATGGAGAACGCGCCAGGGACCATGTAGCGGCCAGGACAGACAATGACAGTGTCGCCTTCGAAGCAGGCATTGACAGCCGACAGCGGGTCACTGTGGAACTAGAAAACACCACCACACGGAGAATACGCACCCCCCGAGAGCAACCTGGGGGTTGCTCCAGGCGCCCTCCCGGCTCACCGTGGGGAGTAAGCGTCTCCTGTGCCGCCGCCTCGGGCCAGTGCAGGCGGGGCGGTGACCAAAGGCAGTGCCGGTACTGTTCCCCATGTCACAGAAAACCCGCCCTGGGGCGCCCTGTGACCCCCCCTGCAGCATTCGGGAAGCCCTGGGGTCAGTCAGGAGGAGAAAAGCCACGTGGAGCAGGAAACGCCTCCCACCTGAATTTCAGTGTCTTCCTTGCAAGGCTCCTGACACAGCCTGTCCCTGAGCAGAGACTGTAGCAGACCGGTCATCATGGCGGGGGAGACCACGTGCGTGACCTTCTGGCCATTTGCTCGGACGCCCTTTGCTTGGATGTTGGAATTCTTCTGATAACCAAACACGTACCTTAAAGGAACCAACAGGCCGATCGGCTCTCAGTAAGACGGCGGGTCAGAAGGGCCGCCGACCGGCTGAGGACGGGGACGCGCCGGCGCAGGACGGAGACGCACTGACCTCAGCAAAGGGTTCTCGATGAGCTTCAGCTTCTGTTTCAGCTGCTCGATCTCGGAATACAGCTTCAGCCCCTCCACCATGGAGATGTTCTCCTGCTCCGTGTCCGCGCGGCAGCTCGACAAACTGCTCCTCAGGTTCGAGAACTTCCTGTAGCTCTCCTCGCACTGAGACAGCAGGCTGCGGTAGTCGACCACGAGGCCCGACGGGACGCGGTCCTCGAGGATGTCATAGTGCCTGCGAGGTGAAAGGCAGCTGAAGGCCCCGCCCGCCTCCCGGGCCCGGGCAGCTGTCCTGGCCGTGCCGGGCGCTCTGCTCCAGGTCGGGCCGCTGGGCGTTCCAGGCACCACCGCGTGAAGGTCATGGACTTGGCTTCTGAGAAGTTACTGTTTTTTTCCCTTAGATCCGAGCCTTGGTGCCGTAGAAACACTGAACGTTCGCACTGCAGTTTGTGATCATTCTTAAATAAGGAATTATTTCCCCATGTATTAGATCTGAAATCTTAAGTGGGTTGCGGGGGGCGATCGGGGGACAGGGATAGGAGGGGAGTTTCATGAGAGTGTTTAAGATTCCCACATTGACAGAAAACCCGCATCAGAAGCAGTTCAGGTGACCTAGTCCTTTGTCACATTTAAAGCACTATGGCACACTACTCCCTCAGGAAGAGTATGAGAGTATTTCTAAAACATAAACCTTTTGAGATTCTGAGAAGAAACTAAAGCGTGATTAAAACAGAATAATCTGCATTGGACAACCTTTTTAGCACTTAAAATTTACTGCTGATTTATATACCCTCTCGAGCATACAGACAGAACAGAAAGTATTTCTAGATGCAATAATCTGAGTGTATAACCGAGTTTATGAATGCAAAATTAATGGATCTGAAAATAAACTGCAATATGGCTGCCATTACCTGATGTTTTAAAATAACGGCTTTATTTCTCAGTTTAAAGTCTATTGTCTTACATGTGCCTTAGGCCAGAGCACCTCAGCCTTGGCTGCACAAGAATCACGAGCGAGCTTTGAAAAGTACTGACGCTCAGGTGCCCACCCGACCAATTCAACCTGTCTCCGGAGAGGGGTTTTTTCGAAGTTCCCTGGGGACCTTAACGACAGCCGGGGTTGAGAGCTACTCCCTCAGATGATGTGTCTTAAACTTGGTCACGCTCTGAATAAGATGAGGGGAAAAAACAGAGCCACATCCTAAACAAATCGACGTCAAATTTCAGTGAACATTCAAACAGTATTTAAAACAAATAAAAAATACATTGTTTTTCTGCTGTTTAAGCAAATGAATTAAGTGAAGCTTGAAAAGCGAGGGTGTTGTTGGTTTGGGTTCATCCACAGCCATTTAAAGATATTCTAGAAATCTACTTTGCAAACAGGAAATCAAGGTCCGGACCACGGACTGCCAGATCGAGTCCATTACGTGAAGATCAAGACTCAGATCTTAAAATGAGTGTCTTAGCGTCTCCCACACCCAAGCCAACCAGCTTATTTCTTCTCGTTAGTGCAACAGCCCGTGGTCTGGAAGCTGCGAAGCGACCTCTGTGTCTCAGAGCCATGAGCCTCGAAGCCGAGGGCTTTCATGAGGAAGGAAGGAAAGACATCTGCCGTGCAGTGCGGCATCAGCCCAGCACCGGCTGCCTCCCTGGGAGCCCCGCCTGCTGACAGCTCTACCCCGCCTCGGCCCAGGGCCCTTTCTGAAGTCGGCCTACATTCGAGAACATTCCACTTCCTCCTCCGTAGCTGACAACGTGCCTCCCTCACACTTTCCCACCTGCCAGTGACGTACGAGGTGTGTATGTAAGTCACTCCTTGCCTGCACGTGCAAGGCTGCCAGATCCGAACACCGGTTTTTCCAAGCAAAGATCAAATCTGCCAGATGCACGTGGTGTTCGGCTACCATTGCATTTCGCTTCGGTCGCAACCGGTCACTGCTCTTGAGAGCAGGTGCATCGAAACTGGAAACCATGCAGGCTGATTGAAATTATATCACCGAATACGTGACGGGAAGACAGGAAATGCACGGTGGAAAAACCGAAACCACAGCCAGTGTACGAAGAGTGAAATCAGCCATGCGGAATTCTGAACCAGGTAGAGCCGTTAACCTGACTTTTCCCCTATTTTTTACTTATCACTTACTACCTAAACCAAGAGAAACTTACTAAATCAAACAGGGTTCCACGAAAGTGTACAGGGTCACTGCCTTATCGCACATAACCAAACCCCTGCCTTCCATAAACGCTCCTCTGCTTGGAGTGCAGGCTCTGCTGTATTCTCGGTCCGGGGAAGGGGGCGGGGCGGGGGGGGGCTGTGACAGCCACCGTGGAAAACCGCCCGGTGCTGGAGCGCCATCTGCTGGAAGGAGGGCCACATCGCACAAAGTGGGGAACAACTGGGTTGAAGGGCTGATTAGGGGTATTTCCGTAGGAAAGGGTTTTTCCTACCAAAATATGATACATTAGAAGAAGAATGTGTTTCGGTGTTTCAGAAATTTTTATTCGCCAACACGAACTATTTAGTATTTCCATCTATTTGTCAAATCTTATTTGAGGACAAAAACTTGACAAAACCACCTGAGATAAACCTATTAGTTTAGACTGATGCTTTACCGTAGGAACTTAAAGCCACATACTTTTTAAAAAATTAAAGCAGAAAAAGTCTTCTATCATTCAGTCGATTTCACTGTTTGTCAAATAATTGTCTTTGAATCTAACAAAGGTTTTTTTTAAACATTAGCTCAAGTTTTATTCAGATTTACAAAACATTGAGCTGTTAGATGTTCTTGAACTCTGCTTTTAGGCTCAGTTTATAAACGCAGAAAGTAGGTTTCTCTGCACGAGTTTCGCGGGTCCGCTCCTGCCTGTGGGCCCTGGAGGGCACCCACGCACCGCACGCCGCACGCCACACGCCACACGGGTGGGGCTAAAGTGCAGACAGCCGCCCTCCCACACGCCAGGGTCACTGGTGACACTCACAGTCTCAGTCGAGGTTCCACACATCTGACGAAGTAATCGTCCTCGTCCTCCTCCTCTTCATCCCAACTCCTCCAAATGTTTTGGTAGAAAAACCTGGAACGGAAACGAGCACCGTTCGGGTTCAACCACTGGCTCGAAAACGTGAGGGTTCCGGGGGGAAGAGCTAGAGTCAACCCAACGCCGGGCTCCGCCGCGCGCGGCAGTTGGGGACCGCGCCAGGCCGCTTTGCACTGGCTACAGAAGTTTTTCTACAGCACTGGTTCTGTTGGGACCCTCTTCTGATTAGAACTATTTACTGACTATCTGTGAGTGAGTGGGTGGTAGGGCCATTTGCTGAGACAGAAAAGACTGGGAGAGAATCAGATTTGGGGTTAAAAACAGAGAGCTCTGTTCTCGCCATGTCAGGGCCGAGACGGCCACCTGACCTCCAGGTGGGTGGTGTCGAGTGCAGATGATCTATGAGCTCAGAGCTCAGGGAAGGGCCAGGGCAGAGATAAATGCGGGACCGGCTGGTGTCCTGTGGCATTACACCAAGAGATGAGAGCATCTGGGGACATCCGAGGGTGCAGTTCTCAACCCCGGCTGCACGTCAGACTCCCCTAGACGCTTTTAACAACTATCCCCGGCCCTCAGCCAGGTTAATAAATCAGAATCTCTAGAGAGGGGTGCAGGATTCGGGTTTGTTAAAGCTCTCCAAGCGATTTAACAATGTTTTTTATTATGGAAAATTTCCGGCCTGTGCAGGAGCAAACAGTATCATGCGTGCCACAAACCCACGCGTCGTGCAGACCAGAATTACTGCGTTGCACCCAGTTTCTGCCCTCGGGGTCGTCAGCATCTGCTCATCCTACCTGACATGCTCGATGGCCAGCGCCGTCTGGTCGAAGGCTCCGGAATCATCGAACACCACCCACAGCTCCTGCAGCGGCAGCTGGTGTCCCTTTAGCTCCAGGAGCTCGCTCACGCACTCCACGGTGAAGGTGCTCACTCGGGACTCGCACAGGTGCGGGCGGGCGAGCCTCACCACGGCCTTCAAGGCCGCGAAGTCCACATCCGTGACCTGGAGGGTAAACGAGCGTGACTCAGCAGCTGGAAATCACAAGCCACCTGCACAGGTGAACCCCATGGAGAGCTGGGTCATTTCCAAGCGTGACACGGGGCGGGGAGCCCCCTTCCACAATGCAAAGGCCAACGCATCCGGCCTGGCTTTTACCCAGCAGAGTTTATACTGTGACCACGGGAACCAATCAACCAACGAGACGGTGACAAGGACGTGTCAGAGAACAGCTAGCAGGGGTGGTCAGCGCAAGTCCCTTCAGGGCCTCGATGAGAAGGGTGAGGAGGAAGCAGCCGCCCCAGGGCAGGAAGGTGTGCAGGGCTGGGGACAGGGAGCGGCTGGGCAGCCGGCCAAGCAGAAAGGCGAGTTTCCTGCCAGAACCAAGAGAAGGAAATGGGGGGGAGGGGGGAGGGCAGATGAGGAGAGGGGCAGGGGCAGGGGCAGGGGCAGATGAGGATGAGGAGCCAGAGAGCTGACCGGGTGGACACTGGCCTGGTAAACGTGCTGGAGGCTCTAAGCAACGCGATGGCAGGTTCTCTGTGGAAATCGAGTCTGGTGGCTTCTGGAGACGCAACTTGGGGGGATGGGGTGCGGGGTTGCTATCACCGCTGAGGTTGAGGGGTGTGAGCCACAGGGAAGATGCGAAGATGGGGCGGGAGCCAGCGGCACCCCAGGGCCCGGCCGGAGGCCGGCGCATTTCCCGGGGGCAGAGCGAGGAGCAGGCGCTCCCCGGCTTTACATTCCACGTCAACAGGGTTTGTGGGGTCCAGTTAACAGACACGGAGAAACACTCTCGGCTGTGATCAGTGCAGATTTAACGGAAAAGGCCCGGTCAGCTGAAAACTGCGGCTGTTTTTCCTGTCTGCACTGGACGCGCCATGGAGAGGTTAACCACACATCTAAGTATCTGTCAGGCAAAGCACGGCCAGTTTTAAAAGGCCTTTTTGGCCTGAGCTACTAACTGGGTTATGACTAAGGTAAAAAATTAACTGAAGCTCCACTGATTTTGTGATCAGGCCTCTGTTTTTCAGATGGCTTAGAATCCACTTCCCTTCTCGAAGGACTCCTGTGCCCGAACCTCCTCCATCCTCCTCCGCAGACTCTAAAATCCACGAGCGCTCCGCTCACCACGGCAATTAGAGGTGAAGAACGCGCTGCTTTCAACCAGCTCGTAAAGTTTAATTAAAAATAAGCACTTAGGCTGTAACAGTTAGAAGGAAAAGCTTTTAGCAGAGACAAATGTCTTAACGAGAGAATTAAATTTACCTCAACCAGCACCTCGAACACGTTGGTGTGCCAGACCGCCTGCCATCCAGATGGTTCGAGGACCTTCTCCAAGAACTCGGCTGTGAACTCCCTCACCTCGGAGGCCTTGCAGTCAGCTACGAACGAATTAGACACAACGAGTTAGACACGAGAGGTGGGTCTGCTTGCTGAAGCAGACGCGTCTACAAACCCACTTACACCTACCTGCCTGGAGCCCAGAACCGGCAGCCCGGGACGCTGGGCGACACGATAACCTCCTCGTGAACTAAAAAGATGGAAGAAGCAAAACGCGAAACCTACGCACCTAGAATGTAGTCCTGATAGGCTCTGAATCGCTCATAGAACAACAGATGCCTCGTCTGGAATATTTCTGGGAAATTCGTTCTTCCTTCCAGCACGTAACTGGGTAAACTGGTCCCTGGCTTATCACGGTCACCACGGTCACCGCACAAATCTTCATCTTGAAACACACCTGAAAGAACCACCGAAGTGAGCGGGCCCAGCTGCCCCAAAGTCCAGGCAGAACACAAACAAGGACCCGGGTATGATGATGCCCTACTTAGCTCCACCGCGGTCAGAAGGAACCGGCGTTACTTAAAGTATCTCCGAATCCCAGTTCGACTTCAAAACCCTCAGAACTGCGAGCCCGTCGCAGGTTAGGCTCGTGCTGTTCTGTGAGGGCTCGCGCGAGGCAGACGAGGGGGACCGTGACTTCGTCCCGCGGAAACCACCCAAGTTCTGCCTGGTCCAATATCTCAGTCGTTTTTTTTTTCCCCCAAAGCAGTTCCATAAAGCTGCATTAAAATGCACTCCTTCCCAAAGGAATGAAGCCTCCTCTTGCTTTCTGCAACGTCAGCCTGCCAGTGGCCCCACAAACAGACGAGAGCCCCTTGATAATGGAAGGCTTCCTGCACCAAAGCTACTAGGTTCCTCCTCACTAATTTTAACAACTGTGTCTGCGGAAAAGATCGGAAAATGCCGATCGCATCAGACTTGGCTGCATGTGCTGATGCTTCATCAGGTGTGATCCGGCCAGAGGCACATCCGGTTCTGTGTAACACGACATTTCTAATGGACAAAACAACCACTGGACAATGCTGAGGACAGCACCTGGACTGGCACAGTCGCTCCCGGGGATCCCGGGGGAGGGTCTGAGGCTGTTACCGGCAGCGGTCTGCGGTCTTTCTGCCCCGCCCGTCACTTTCTCCTTCTTCCATGTCTCTGCGCCTGATCCGGCGATCAGAATTACCTGATGCCACAGACGACCAAAGCGTACTCAAGGGACCCTGCTCACAGACACCGATGCACCTGAGGACACCTATACCTCACTAGCTGTGCCGCCATCTCCCGGTGCGTCCTCGCCGATAAGGGGAAGGCGAAACTAGGGTGCCTACCTCAAGGAAATCCAGAGAATTCAATAATTTGGCAATGACAACAGTATCCATCACTTAATGCATAGAAATGTTTGTTAAAGAAATCGTACCTTCACCTCACACACATTAGGTGGCTACCATCAAAAAAAAGAAAAAAACAACAACAAGAAAAACTATCAAGAAAACAAGACTTGGCAAGGATGTGGAGAAAAGGGAGCCCTCGGGCACTGTTGGTGGGCGTGTAAAGTGGTGCAGCCACTGCAGAAAACAGGATGGAAGTTCCTCAAAACATTAAAAGTAGAATTACCATATGACCCAGCAATTCTACTTCCGGGTAACACCCGAAAGAACTGAAAGCGGGGTCTCCAAGAAATATCTGTATACCCATGTTCACGGCAGCTAAAACATGGAAGCAACCATAGTGTCCAATGGGGGAGGAATGGATAAAAAAAACGTGGTTTATACACACAGTGGAATATCACTGACCCTTAAAAAGGAAATTCTGCAATATGCTACAACATGGATGAACCTTGAGCGCATGATGCTAAGTGAAATAAGCCAGTCACGGGAAGAAAAATACTGTGATTCTACTGATGAGTTACTAAATAGTCAAAAATCATAAAGGCAGAAAGTATAATTGTGGTGCCCAGGGGACTGGGGGAGTTAAGTGTTCAGTAGGTAGTGTTAATGTAAGAACATCTACGCAAGAAAAGAATTTTATAAAAATTGATTTGAGCTAAACAGAGGATACACTTAGAAGATCTAAACAGACCGAGAAAAATGCCTCTCAGAATGGCAGTTTGCAGCTTCTTTGTGCATCTAGAATTAAGGGGGAAATACAAAGATTACAGGAAGGTGGGAAAAGGCAAGGCGGGGACTGGATTCCAGGATAGTTAGAGTGTGTCCTCTCTTGGGGGTGGTTACTGTGAGAGAGAGGAATTTCAAAGGTGCGTAAACCTAGATGCACAGAAACAAGGAACAGCTTGCGAAAGGCAAAGTTGTGCCTGGGGTGTGACTGTCCTCCCGGACCTGCCCAGTTAGGAATTTCTGATCAGATCACACTGTGCGGTTACTTTCCGTAGAAGCCCTGTTCTGTCCACAATAGTTTGTTTACAAAATGCAAAGAGTTATGGGGATGGATGGTGGGGATGGATGGTGGGGACGGCTGCACGATGTGAATGAATTTAATATCACTGAACTGTTAAGACGGTAAACTTCACGCCCTGTGTTTTAACATTAAAAAGAATACCTTACTGCAGCACAAGTCTTTACAGCCACTTGGAAAGTTTTACTTTCCAAACACGACTTCACTCCCTCTGCACCCTCTGGCGGGACCACTGGCTGGTTTCCCGATGGGAAAAATGAGGCCGAGTGACTCGTGCCAGTTCACGATTAGACCGGGGCCCTCCCGAAACTGGCTCCCCTGACTGTGGGCCTGTCGCCCGCTCTCAGGGCAGCTACCCCAGCCAGGCTCCTGTCCCTTCTCTCGGGAAGGGGAGCGCTGTCACCACCTCCTCCGACCCCTGAGACGCAGCGGAACCCCGAGCCCCGGAAGCCCATGCGGACACCGGGGCGAGAATTCCCGGCCCGGTCCAACGCCCTCCAGACCCCAGGACGCCGGGGTCAGACGGGGCGGAGAGAACCGGAGTCGCCCAGGATGCCTTCCGACTCTGACGTCGGGGACTCGCGCAGCCGCCACCGCCACCCGGGCCCCGCGACGCAGGCGGCTCCCCGGGCCGGCCCGGCGGGCACTCACCTTTCTCCTCGGCCGCCCAGCCCGTGCGCTCCGGCCCCGGCCCCATCGCCTCGGACCCCAGCTCGCCAGCCGCCAGCAACCCGTCAGCCATTTCAAATTTCCGCGGGCGCCGCCAGCCCAGGAATGTGCTGACGCTCGCACTCCTGATTGGGTGGCGGCTGCGGCGCTCGGGCCAATGACAGCAAAGCTTGCGTGGCCGCACGCGCACGAGCCCCGCCAGCCAGTCCGCCCCGGGCACAGCGCCTGGGCGCCACCTGCCGGCCGGGAGGACCGCCGCTCTCGTCCAGGCTCCCGGTCTCTCGTTCCCTAGGACGCTCGGAGGCACAGTTGAATTGGGTCGTGATTTGGGATAATTTCCGAAACACTAACAAGCCATGCCTGGAAGTGGAGTGTAGCGGAAAAGACATGGACGGAAAGTCAAAGCCGTAGTATCCAGACTTCTTCGGACATTACTGGTGGTATCACTGGGCAGTCCCTTCACCTCTCAGATGCCTTCCGTGGCAGTCTATTGTCCCAGATGGCCCCCAACCTTTCATCACAAGTCAACCTCTCCCTCCCCGCCATTTCATTCACTACCTGCACAGGCACACACGATACTTTCAAAGAATGTCAAATTAAATTCAGTAAGTAAAGTATTTTGCCTATATTTATTAATCAGAGCCAACTATGACCTCCGATAACAACTAACGTTTATTGAGTAAGGTGTGCAAGACACCCTCCTGCACGCTTTACCTGCATTTTCTTATTTAAGCTTCAAAAGCCATCCTGACGCCAGAAATACTATTATTCCCATCTTACAAACGAGGAAATGGAGGCAGTAAGAAGTGGCAGCCAGGAGTAGAAACCAGCCAGAATCCAGAGGCCGCCCTTGACCGCTTCCGCCAGGCCAGGACTCCAGCTGAGGCAGGCGAGGACAGCAGAGGGGAGCGGAAGGCCAGGGGGGACTAGAGCCTGGCGGATGCGGCGACGCAGCCTTGTCACAGGGAAAGCGTCCACTCCGCCCACACTGCACTGGTGCCTCTTACGAATCAAGTATGAAAGGGAGAAAGTCCAAAATTGTTAATAGCAACTTTATTCTCACTGGTGCAAAAAAAAAAAAAAAAATCATAATTGTATGATGCATTTCCCCCTAAATTTACAATAATGAAGGTTATACATAAATTATATAGATCACAAATTTTCTATTTTATACTATTTAGAACAAAATTATTTTGATAAATATGTCAGAGGACAACATAGGTTTGATGGATGGCCGAGTCCAAATATGCAAAATATAGCTTCTGGTTTTGACCATGGCGCTTTAAAATCCTCAAACATGCATTAATATAGTCTAGTTGTCGGGAAAATATTATACATGGCCTCATCTTGCATTTAGGGAAAAGCCCAAGCTGAATTTCACATACAGGATCCCTTTCCTCTAAATTAACCTCGAATTGGACTAGAGAACAAAGAGACAGACGCTTTCGGGTTAGTACCCCAAGTAATGAAGAGAATTACACAATCAACAATGAAACGAAACAGAAAGGGAAGGAGAGTTTCATTAGTGGCCGAGAGAAGTGGTTTTTAAGTATTTTTGTTTTCTTTTCTTTTGTTTTTGTTTTTTTTTTTTTTTTTTTTTTACAGATCATAGGAATTTTAAATCGCAAATCAATCATGCTACTTGGGGCAATCAGACAGGCCTGAACACTTACGACGTGGATAACTCTGTTAAGGTCTTGAAGGTGAGCGTCCGGAGGTGCTGGGTAAAACACATCGCAGGTAAGAAACGGGAAACCTACCTCAGCATTTCTGAAAGGCACAATCTATGGAAGGAAAACCTAGGATAGCAGAACCCTCACTGGATGTACAGGGAAGGGAGTGTGGTGAGCCCGCCTCCTTCAAAGGACGAGGCCTTCGTAGATGGGCCCCTCAGATTCTGGTGATTCCCGCCTCAAGCGCAGATGCTCCAGCGTGTTCCGAAAATGTTTGTTAATCTGCTCTGTTTCTTCACTGGACTCAAGATTTGGGAGGTCTTCTCGAATCTTTTGGATAAGCTGGTTCAAAACCTGAATCGTGACCTACAAAAAAATACGCACAATTTCACGGTCAAGCGTGTACTACGAAAAATGAAGGGCAATTCAATAAAAATGTTCTGAGGAGCGTGCACTACTCTCATCGATTCCCAGAATTATTATAAAAAAAAAAAACAAGAAAGTGATTCCTGGTTTAACCAACAACTTTTGGCTATTTACCGAGAACAAAAAAATAAAAAACGCAGAGTATCATGAACCAGAAAATCAAAAGCGAAATTGTATTTAACCTATAAATCTTGAGCAACTCTGTTCTGCTAAAAGGATGATTGTCGTTTATTTAGGAATTATTCTAAATCTGTACATGATGACAATTTGGTCCACTGTTCAGCTTTTGTACATTATTTTGTCTCTTAAACACAGAGCCTATTTTTATAAACTACTCCTAAGCAAAAGGGATGAGAACGTCCTTGCACACAAAGAGTACTTTTGTTAGAGATGCATCTACACAGACAGAAGGATTTGGGAGAAAGAGAGACCAGTAGATGGGTTCTCCCAACTCTGACCCTTGTAAACAAAAAAAATGTCAGGCCTATGGCCATGCCACCCTGAACGAGCCTGATCCCGTCTGATCTCGGAAGCTAAGCAGAGTCAGCCCTGGTCAGTACCTGGATGGGAGACCACCTAGGAACAGCAGGTGCCGTAGGCGTTAACAAAAAAAAAAATCATAAAAAGAAATGTCAGAATGCGAAGCTTCTGTACATATCAAATCTAAGAGCGGGAAAGGGAAGCACAGTGCCCCGGAGACGCTTCGTTCGTTCACTCACCGCGTCGTTCTCCTTCTCATAAAAATAGATGTATCTGTTCAGGATTTCTATAAAAAGCTGCACTTGTAGAGAGGGGTCCATGCACTGATTGGCTATTTTTAGGGCTTTCTTTAGGCATTCCATTACCCTCTTGCCTCCGTGAAGCTGGAATAAAGGTGGGGGGGGGGCGTCGAAGAGATTAATGAAGCACAAGTGTCCTTTCTCACACGAGGGAATAAACACAACACTACAGTGGTCCTTTCATGTTCTAAAGGGACACAACAAATTTAAATCGTCTTCATTTCTTAAGGACATAGCTATATTTTAAAATAAATGTTCTCTGTTTTATATACTTACACGCTAAACGTTTTATATTTACACACAGCCATACCTAGGAGATATCGCAGATTTGGTCCCAAAGCACCACAATAAATATCACCACAGAGCAAGCCACACCGATTTTTTGGTTTCTCAGTACATGTGAAAGCCAGGTTTACGTGTAGTCTAGTAAATGCGCAATAGAATTATGTCTAAAAAAAAAAAAAACCAGCGTGCACACCTTAATTTGAAAGAACTTTCTCACTAAAAAACGCCACCCAACACCTGAGCCTCGGCGAGCCATGCCCGTTCTGCTGGTACGGGTCCCGCCCCACCGCTGACGGCCGCTGCCCAGCCGGGATGGTGGGGGTCGAAGGCCGGGGCGTCCGCGCCAAGTTCTTGAAACACGGCAGCAGTGAAGTCGGCCTCGCCGACTGACCTTTCCTCCCTCCAGCGATCTGTCTGCAGCGTGCGACGCTGTCCGACAGCATTTTGCCCACAGAGCTACTTTCAGAACCGGGGACAGTGCCCCCGAGCCCGGCCGCGGCCTCATCAACTGCCATTATGTGACATCCCGAGTCCCTTGCTGGCACGTCCACGGGCTTCGCCAGGCGCAGGTTCCATCGCGAGAAACCACGTTCCTGGCCCACCCGTGAGCGGCGGCTCCTCAGGCTTCCCCCCCCCTCCTGTTCCAGTTCATCCACGGTGACTTCCTGCACTGAAGTCTGGGGCCCTCGAGGTCATCCACAAGGGCTGGAATCAGCGTCTTCCACACTCTTCTCTTGGTTGACATTCTGACCTCTTCCTATGAATCACACATGTTCTTCATGGCTGCTAGAAGGGGGAATCTCTTCCAGGGTTTCAACTGACTTTGCCCAGATCCAGCAGAGGAACCACTGTCTGTGGCAGCTGCAGCCTTACGAGACGTGCTTCTCAAATCATAAGACGCAAAAGCTGAAGTTACTCCTTGGTCCGTGGGCTGCGGGATGGAGGCTGTGTCCACAGGCATGAAGACTACATTAGTCTCATATTCGTCGCCATCGGAGCTCGTGGGTGACCAGGTGACTGGCAGTGAGCAGCAATATTTTGAAAAGAACCTTCTGAGCAGCAGGTGTCAACAGGGGGCTTAAAATGCTCAGTGAGCCATGTTGTAAACAGGTGCTGTCACCCAGGCTTCGTTGTTCCATTTACAGAGCCCAGGCAGAGGAGATCTGTCAGGATTCTAAGGGACCCGAGGATTTTCAGAATGGCAAATGAACACCGGCTTCCACTTAAAGTCACCAGCTGCGCGAGCCCCTGCCAGGAGAGTCAGCCTGTCCTCTGAAGCTCTGAAGCCGGCCACGGC